GTCGAGTGTTCGTGACGCCCACACTAGACGCCTGTTCTTATCACTTCTTCAACTCTCACGGTTATGAAGCAATGTTTTCAAGGACTTAAACTCTTTAATATTACTTAAAAAAATACATAATACTTAAAATACTGTTGATATTCTGTTTTAGTTGCGTTAGTTGTCAGTACTGTTGTTATGGTCTTAGTCTGGTGCGCGATACAACTCTTGAAACTTAATTAAAATTCCCCTGTTGTTTTGTTTTACTGTTTTAATTACCGTTCATCAAACCTGCAGTGGGTGAGTTGTTTTAGAGCTCATCTTTCACTTTACGGGTTATTGGTTTGTGATCTCTGGATATTTCTAGTCTATACTCAGTACGTAGTAAAAATTCTGAATGGATGTAAATGTGATCGGTGATTGGTTACTTAGTTCCCTGTTGCTTAATTTAATGGTTGGGCTTTGTTGTTTCGTAATATATTATACTTCTATAGTAAACAAACGGCATTGAGTTGCCAGCTGTCTCCAGCAGTGTTCGAAGAATCTTGAACGAGACTGTACCTGACTTGACAGTTGGGGAAGTGAAGCGATCGAGTGCAGTGTTTACCATCCTGTCTTAATGTGTTGTAAAGGTTTTTGTCCCTATAATAATACTTTAATTTCCTTTACTTTATCAGCTTTATCTGGTCACACACACACACACACACACACACACACACACACACACACACACACACACACACTCACTGTACCTACATCTTTCTACGACTAAAGATGAATGGTGAGAGTTGTCCAGACGGGGAATGTTGAAGAATGAGGAAGAATGACATCGTAAGTGTGTATGTGCCGCTAGACAAGGGAGGACAAGACACCCAATCAGTAATCAGCTTAATAGGTTGTTGATCAAGAGTAATTAACGCTGAGGTGTCGTAGCTCAAGACTTCATCAACACCTAAAGCAGAGGTGTTGTTGTAGACCAAGTGTTGTGTCTGTGTTAAAGAGACAAACATACATTATGTAGTACTGTACTCGACTGAACCATCCCCCCTCCCTCCCTCCCTCACTACCCCCTCCCACACTACCCTCCCTCCCTCCCTCCCCCTTATTAAGATCGTATTCAAAGGAGCGCGCGCCGTTCTGCCTAAGTTATGTGTCGGGATTGTGACTGTAATACTATAAGAGCCACGAGCGGTGTAATGACATGTTATTATTACGGCTCTAAGATGAATATTGCAACACTGAGGCGCCGACCAGTGTGGGTGTTGCTGGGTTATGTGGCAACACTGTGATGGTGGTTTGTGTTGCTGGGTTATGTGGCAACACTGTGATGGTGGTTTGTGTTGCTGTGTTATGTGGCAACACTGTGATGTCTGTATTAGGTGTATGATAACTATATTTGTCGAGTGTATTGGTGGAGTTGTGCTTTATATTGTTACTGGTATGTCTCTGTCTGTCTGTCTGTCTGTCTGTTGTTTTTATTTATTAAGCTACACACACACACACACGCACACACGCACACGCACACACACACACACACACACACACACGCACACACACACACACACACACACACACGCGCGCACACACACGCGCGCACACGCACACACACACACACACACACGCACACATGCACACACGCACACACACACACACACACACACACACTATTGACTGAGTGATCACACGTGGTTCACCTAACGAGTGTGTTTGGGGCCTAGTCATTAAGCCCCTTTGTCCTGATAGACCCCAACCTTACCCAGCCGAAGGAGTAAAATCAAGACCTCAGCTCTAATCGTAGTGGGGCCTAATTTGTGATGATTAGGGGTAGGTAGGGGCCCATTAGACCGGAGACTCATTATACCAAGAGCCCGTTATACCAGCGGCCCATTATACCAAGGGCCCATTATACCACGGGCCCATTAGATAGGAGACTCATTATACCAAGGGCCCATTATACCAAGAACCCATTATACCAAGAACCCTTTATACCAATAACCCATTAGACCAAGAGCCCATTATACCAAGGGCCCATTATACCCGGGGCTCATTATACAAGGGACCCATTAGACCAAGGACCCATTATACGAGGGGCCCATTATATCAAGGGTCCATTATACCAGAGGCTCATTACACCAGAAACTCATTCGACCAAGGGCCCATTATACGAGGGGGCCCATTATATCAAGGACCCATTATACGAGGGGGCCCATTAGATAGGAGACTCATTATACCAAGGGCCCATTATACCAAGAACCCATTATTATACCAGCTCATTATACAAGGGACCCATTAGACCAAGGACCCATTATACGAGGGGCCCATTATATCAAGGGTCCATTATACCAGAGGCTCATTACACCAGAAACTCATTCGACCAAGGGCCCATTATACGAGGGGGAAATGCATGGTATCAAGGACCTATTATAATGAGGGGCCCATTGTTTCAAGGACCTATTATACGAGGGGGCCCATTATATCAAGGACCCATTAGTACGAGGGGCCCATTATATCAAGGACCCATTATACGAGGGGGCCTATTATAATAAGGACCCATTATACGAGAGGGGGCCCATTATATTATATCAAGGACCCATTATACGAGGGCCCCATTATATCAAGGACCCATTATACGAGGGGGCCCATTATATCAAGGACCCATTATACGAGGGGGCCCATTATATCAAGGACCCAGTATACGAGGGGGCCCATTATATCAAGGACCCATTATACGAGGGGGCCCATTATATCAAGGACCCATTATACGAGGGGGCCCATTATATCAAGGACCCATTATACGAGGGGGCCCATTATATCAAGGTTCCAGTTGAGAGGTAGTCGTCATTTACACAACGTACGGTACAGTCATCAGGTGGTCTTGTTAAGGTCCCCAACCACGTGGTCTTGGTCTCGACTACACACTTACCAACATGACAGTCATCTCGACACACAAGACAGACAGACAGATAATATTCCTGGGAGTTAAGATAAAACAAATACACTAAAACCATCAGTAATAACAAACAACTACAGTAATCTCAGCAGTAAAGACAAACAAACACAAACAAACAAACAAACAGAGTGTAGTAACCTTAACACTGGAGCTCTGGCAACTTTACTCAACAATGTTCTTCCAGTACCCGGGTTCGAGTCCGGTGAGATGTGTAGTGTATGTTATAAAGGAGTTTATTAGCATGGTAGGGGGAAGGTGTATGGTGGTGGTTGATTGGTGGTGGGTGATTGATTGGTGGTGGGTGATTGTGGTTGGTGGTGGTGGGTGATTGTGGTTGGTGGTGGTGGGTGATTGTGGTGGTGGGTGATTGTGGTTGGTCGTGGTGGGTGATTGTGGTTGGTGGTGGTGGTGGGTGATTGTTGTAATTAAGGTATTATACTCATGGTGTTAAGCCATCACACTTTCAGGGGTTAAGTCATCGTATCCAAAGGGGTTAAGTCATCATACTCAAGGGATTAAGTGACGTGGTAAATGATGAGTGTATCGTGTGAGTGTGTGTGCGTGCGTCAGGTGTAATCAAGGGTAACATCAGCTGTGTACACCTGCCGCCGTCAATCACCTCATTTAGCAGTAGGAAAATAGTGATCGAGAGAGAGAGAGAGAGGGAGGGGGGGGGGAGAGATTTAGTTAGCTCTCCGACCCTCCATTACATTAGTTGGTGTCAGTCAGTCAGCATCACCTCACCTCAGTTCACCGCCTCCACACTGGGGCCGGTGGTGTCAGTCAGTCAGCATCACCTCACCTCAGTTCACCGCCTCCACACTGGGGCCGGATAACAATGAGATACTGTATACCTTGTTAAAGTATAGTGTTGTTTTGATACCATTCCGGTCATTAGTGCGGCGTAGGTTAAGTGATCTAGAGGAAAGATTTGTTACAGCTTCAGAGAGAAAAATTAAGACTCTAATCTTTGTGAATCATTTAGTGGGGTCACGGAACAGTTCAGGTAAGAGTAGAGTTTCTGTGTAATATTGACGCCATTTTAGATGTGTTTTATGGCCCCGGTTGGTGGTCTCTTTACTCAGTCTTAGTCTCAGAATGGACGAAATGAGTCTCCGAACTGCCCCACTACCCATATATAGAGTCGTAGTGTATCACTCGTACTCGGTACTGTTACGAACGTTCCGAAACCTTTGTTCATCACTGTACTTAAATGAACCAATATGATTTTGTCAATAATAATTCTGTTTTTGGAGGAAAATTTAACTTAGGAATCTTCGTGAATCTGGTTTGTGAATTATCAGATATCGTAAATTGATATTTTTACCTTACGATTAACCTAACCTAATCTAACCTAACCTATCCTAACCTAACGCTAATCTAACCTAAAGCTAACCTATCCTAACTTAACTTATTTCTAGGTTAGCGTCAGGTTAGATTAGGGTACGTTATGTTAGGTTATGTTAGGTTAGGTTAGGTTAGGTTAGGTTAGGTTAGGTTAGGTTATTATTCAGTGTTTACATTGTTGAAATCTTAAGTGTTTTGTAAGTGCTGGAATCTTATACGTAAGTGTTTGATAAGTGTTGATACATGAAGTGTTATAGGGTCGGAATCTCTCGTTAAAAGCGTCAACATCAAAGTGTGAATATTCAAGTGATTAAGTCAGTGTTGTAAGTGCTTCTTGAACCACAGTGTGTAAAGTGTCTTGGTTCATGCTCATATCAGTGCGCTGCGTCATGAAGTGCCAGAAAGTGTCATGAAGTGCCATAAAGAACCATAAAGTGCCAAAAAGTATCACGGTGCAATGAAACCCCATAAAGTGCCATAAAGAACCATGAAGTGCCATACAGTGCCATAAAGCGTCATAAAGTGCTTTGAAATGCCACCATGAAGTGCCATATGATCAGCTAGAAGACCAAATTAAGGATGAACAAATTACAACTTTACGACTGTTGTAAATTTTATGATGCAAACTCTGGGTACAGAATTAATGGTGTGTGACAGTGTAGCGGTAACTTAGTGGCGCCTTTGGATGTGTTCAGAGGTAACTTAGTGGCGCCTTTGAATGTGTTCAGAGGTAACTTAGTGGCGCCTTTGAATGTGTTCAGAGGTAACTTAGTGGCGCCTTTGAATGTGTTCAGAGGTAACTTAGTGGCGCCTTTGGATGTGTTCAGAGGTAACTTAGTGGCGCCTTTGGATGTGTTCAGAGGTAACTTAGTGGCGCCTTTGGATGTGTTCAGAGGTAACTTAGTGGCGCCTTTGGATGTGTTCAGAGGTAACTTAGTAGCGCCTTTGGAGTGTGTTCAAAAGCCTTAGGATGTGTTCAGAGATAACTTAGTGAACGCCTTTGGATGTGTTCAGAGGTCTTAGTGGTGCTTAGTGGCGCCTTTGGATGTGTTCAGAGGTAACTTAGGCGCCTTTGGATGCAAAGGCCAACTAGTTGCTGCTGGATGTGTTCAAGGGGCAAAGGTAACTTAGTGGCCTTTGGATGTTGTTCAGAGAGTAATCTCTAGTGGCGCCTTTGGATGTGTTCAAGGTAAGTGGCAACTTAGTGGCGCCTTTGGATGTGTTCAGAGAGTAACTTAGTGGCGCATTTGGATGTGTTCAGAGGTAACCCAGTGGCGCCTTTAGATGTGTTCAGAGGTAACTTAGTGGCGCCTTTGGATGTGTTCAGAGGTAGCAACTGGCGCCTTTAGATGTGTTCAGAAGGTAACTTAGTGGCGCCTTTAGTGGCGCCTTTAGATGTGTTCAGAGGTAACTTAGAGGCGCCTTTGGGTGTGTTCAGAGGTAACTTAGTGGTGCCTTTGGATGTGTTCAGAGTAACATTTGGCGCCTTTGGATGTGTTCGGAAGTAACTTAGAGAGCGCCTTTGGGTGTGTTCAGGAGTAACTTAGTGGCGCCTTTGGAGTGTGTGTTCAGAGGTAACTTAGTGGCGCCTTTGGATGTGTTCAGAGGTAAGTTAGTATTTGGATGTGTTTTAGAGGTAGTAGTGGCGCCTTTAGATGTGTTCAGAGGCAATAACAGTGGCGCCTTTGGGTGTGTTCAGAGGTAACTTAGTGGTGCCTTTGGATGTGTTCAGAGAGGTAACTTAGTGGCGCCTTTGGATGTGTTCAGAGGTAACTTATTTGGGATGTGTGTCGAGTGTAAACCGTCTTTAGGTGTGTTCAGAGGTAACTTAGTGGCGCACGGATGTGTTCAGGGTAACTTATGGTGCCGGATGTGTTCGAACAGAAGTAGCGTCTTTGGATGTGTTCAGAGGAGCCGTCTTTAGGTGTGTTCAGAGGTGCTTAGTGGCGCCTTTGGGTGTGTTCAGAGGTAACTTAGTGGCGCACGGATGTGTTCAGAGGTAACTGCGGCGCCTTTGCGTGTTCAGAGGTAACTTAGCGGCGCTTTTGGAAATGTGTTCCAGAGGTAATCTAGTGGCGCTTTGGGATGTGTTCAGAGGTTTGTAATACTGTGTGTGTGTGTCTCGGTGTGTTCAGAGGTAACTTAGTGGCGCCTTTGGGTGTGTTCAGAGGTAACTTTAGTGGCGCTGGATGTGTTCAGTGTGTGTGTACTTAGTGGTGCCTGGTGTGTTCAGAGGTATGGCGCCTAGAGGTGGCGCTGGATGTGTTCAGATATAACTTAGTGGCGCTTTGGATGTGTTCAGAGGCAACTTAGTGTGGGTGTGTTCAGAGGTGGGGCAACAGTGGCGCTTTGGTGTGTGTTCACTTAGTGCGCCTTTGGATGTGTCTAGAAAATCTCTTAGTGGAAAGATATAGTTCACGTTTGTAATACTGTGTGTGTGTGTGTGTGTGTGTGTGTGTGTGTGTGTGTGTCACTAGATATTAAGGTGATGTGTGACGTAACCATGTGAACGAACGAGTAACGTCACACCTGTTGAATGATGACGCCATGAGTGACGACATGGGTGGGGAGGGGTCACTCAACCAGTCACCACACGGCGTCACACAGGCAGTTCATCTCAACCTAAGCAACCATTAATTTACTCCACTTATTTCCCTTACCAGTTAAGTGAGAAGGTTCCCCCTAACCCCTTAGAGTGGTGGGAACAGTTCGCAAGTTTTCCTCACCCTTTATGAGTGTCCGAGTTTGGATTATCTTCCGTCTTGCCTCATCCCCTCAAGGCTTGCTTCATCCCCTCAAGGCTATAGTGAGGGTGACGTCAGAGGCAGGGATCTCTCTACCTTTCATATCTCAACCATTAAATTAATTCTTTATCTGTGTGGGATGTTTGTGTGTGCTGTTCCTGAAGGCTGAAGTAAGAATTTTGGTCAGGGATTCAAGAGGGAAGTGAAGTAAGAGAGGCAAGTTGTGGCGACGGGTGTGAAGTATACAGTCACTTGCCTCGCCTCTTTGCCTCACCCAACTTCTCTCTCTGCTCCCACACTAACGCCAACACACGTCTCTCCCTCTCTCTCTCCTACACCATCTACAGCTCACCGTTTACACTGTAGCTAAAATAGAACTTGTAACTTTGTAAATAAATGTATCATGTAGTTTAAACTGTGTGTCTAGTGCCAGGTAAGGGATATGGTGTTGACCCCTTGTGTGTGTGCCTGTATGGGGGTGGCCTTGGGCACTTAGTTCACGGTGTTCCCGCTAGTGGCGCTGTAGGCCTTATCTCCACACCGCCCACCCTTACCTAAGCTGTTCATTAAAGTTTATCGTGATATTTCTCATAAAAATAATAGTTATGAGTCTTGGTTTAATACCGAGAAGTTAGGTCATTTGTTATTCTAATTTTTGGTGGGTTAGGTTAGGTTGTGTCTGGGGTGAGTTAGGTTAGGTTAGGTTGTGTCTGGGGTGAGTTAGGTTACCTGCTTTACATTATTCAGCCCTTTGAGTACGATGTCAACTCCGAGTACAATGAATTAATCCTTTGAGTAGTATATCTTAATCCAGAGTACGAGGTCAAATATTATATGGTGAGACACGAGTACACTGTGTGGGTTGAGTGCAGGGTGGATGTGGGTCAGGTGCACACACACACACCTCTGGGTGGGTAGGTCACCGTGTGTGGCAAAAAATATTCGTGAGGTAGATTGGACGACAGGTGAGTAATTAGACTGTAGGTGATTGGAGATATTGATTGCTAGGGAGATTGGAGAGTGTAGGCTATTGATGCTGAAACAGTTTAGCCAGAAGAACACTGATACAGAGTGGATAATAAGCTCTCCTGTAGGCACCTGACACCTCAAGGAAGTATTATGTAACATTTTGCATCATCTGCAACAGTACAATAGCTTGGTGGTGATAACGACATGTTACCACAGTTGTCACTTCGTTAATTATTTTTATTTTTTTTTATTTTTAACATTTATATTAGTGAACCTAAAGTAGATGTAGGAAGATATTTTTACGTAGATGACATTGAAGAATATGATTTATAAGGGAACTAGCGGAATCGCCGCCCTCCGGGCGGCTCTTTCGCTAGGCCACAGTAGGACGCCACCCTCCGGGAGGCTCCACATTGTTTCACTGTAGTGCATTAAGGTAGACCACATTTTTGGTTTTGCCATTAGGGGCAAGTATGTACAGATTTTTGCCATTTCCCACTCTAGAGCATCCAACATAGAACTGTCCATGAGAGAAGCAAGGAAACACCAGGTTTAGGCCAACCATCTTTAGGGACTGTCCCTGGCTTTTATAGATGGTCATGGCAAAGCTCACTTTAACCGGGAACTGAAGTAGTTTGAACTCAAATGGCAGGTCAGTGGTGATGAGAGGTATCCTTGGTATAAACACGTCCTCTCCTTTAACTTTTCCTGTCAGTATTGTAGCTTCCAGTACATGTGGCATCATGTTCTTCACCACCAGTCTTGTGCCATTGCAGAGCCTTGGTGTTTCAAGATTTCTTAAGAGCATTATAGGAGTTCCAATCTTGAGAGTGAGTTGGTGAGGAGGCATTCCAGCGGACTCCAAAGAATTAAGGAATTCTGCAGGGTACTGGACTACTTGGTCCTGGTCGATTACTGTATCAACAGACTTGAATGAAGTCTCACTGCCTGGAAGCTGTCTGAGTAGAGTCGTGTTGATTTCAGCCACCGTTTCATTCTTTGGTGCCAGAATTGCACGTTCACGCAGCCACTTGTGATCCTTGTAGTGGTGGATAATGTTTGGGTAGACCATGTTAGTGAGCTCAGTTGAGGACTTTACAACATTTCCACATCCTTGAGGATTGGTTATTTGTCCTTCTGAATCAACAGGGAAAGTTCTATTCCCAATCTGTAATAGAAGGTTTGCAAACCGTCCAGCATCCTGATCTCCTTGTAGATGTACTTTCATGTTTGTGGATAGGGTGAGTGTCTGAACACTTCTCCAAAGGTATGATGCCTTGGGGCTTGCATTCAGTTCATCAGCTGGAGTACTTCGAGGAATGACAGGTAGGATCTGGCGAAAGTCTCCGGCAATGACCATTATAATGCCACCCATGAGCTGGTCATTTTCTAGTTTGTCTTGCAAGGTCCTGTCCAATGCTTCAAATGCTAACTTGTGAGACATAGTAAATTCATCCCAGACTATGAGGCTGCATTTTTCTAAGAGTTTTGCCTTTACCGATCCTATTTTGATGTTGCACACTGGCTTCTCATTGTGAGCGAGGTTGAGAGTTGAGTGTGCAGTACGTCCTCCTTCTAGTAATGTTGCGGCAATGCCTGAGGATGCCACAGCAAGAGCAATTTTCCCCTGATGACGTACTTTGGCCAACAGAAGGTTGATCAGGAATGTTTTTCCTGCCCGCCAGGTGCATCAAGAATGATCGTACCTCTCTGCTCCGCTTGTATCGCTTGCAAGATCTGTTCATAAGCATTTGCTTGATCAGGCACCAGGTGAGGCTCATTTTCTTCAAGAAATTCACCACAGAACTTCAATTGAGTAGCCCTGTCTCTGAGCAAATTCCCTGTTTGGTAACTAGCTGTCTTCTCGGTTTGGGGAAGGCAATCCAAAATCAGTCAGGTTTTTCCGCATAGCTCCATCACTTTGTTCTCTCCAGCAGCGATCAGATTCTGCTGAAATATGTCATCGACGAACTCAATCTTGACCAGGATGTTCTCTTTGTTGCTTCTTGATGAAGCAGATCCTCTGAAAGACTTTGGTGGTTTTTCCAGAGCTGGCTTGTTAGCCCATATAGCAATCATGATGGCAAACAGGTTCTATTCTCATTGGCGATTTTTAACTGCTGCTCTCTAATGTGTCATTCATGCACCATCATCTACAGTAGGCCAAGGAGATTGCACGCTTCCCGAAGTTCTGCAGATTCGTTCATTCACCGTCTTAGTGCTGCATATGATGTTAAGCAAAACTAGTCTCAAACAATGGCCTCAAAAGTTGTTGGGGTGAACCGTGTCGACACGTCCCAAAGAAGCTGACTTTATCCCCGGATATCCTTCAACATCGGATCCTTGAGCTCTTCTCTGAACTTTTTTCATTGAAGCCATATGTAGAGCTTGGGTACGTCAACATACAGGAGTATTTTGAGCAAACTCTCATCTCCTGTGAAGCTGAAGAATGCAGTGAGGGTCGATCAGCAGGATTGCCATTTATTTGAGGGACTTTCAGAAGTAAACTCTTTGTCCATTTTCCAGGTGAACAAACAGATGAACTACTGTTGCTGATATGGTTCGTGTATGGGGAAAATTAAAATTTCACCAATTAAGGTTATAACACATCATCCACCACCACATTATAACACCATCCATCATCACTATAAATACCATCCATCATCACTACATATATAACACCATCCATCATCACTACATATAACACCATCCATCATCAATACATATAACATCACCCATCATCACTACATATAACACCATCCATCATCACTATATATAACACCATCCATCATCACTACACATATAACACCACCCATCATCACTACATATATCACCATCCATCATCACTACATATATAACACCACCATCACTAAGCAACACCACCCATCATCACTA